TTCACATCAGAAAAAAATTTACTTTGGTCTTTGCATTGTTAGCTAGTAAATAGCATTTTGTAGTAAAATGGGAGACAAATAAAATGATGAGTCCACATCAAGTATCAATAATAAGTCATCATTGGCATCTTCGCTTATGACAAGAATTGTATCAAATGCGAATTTTGCAGTTGAAATTTTTGACGGGTCAGGATATTTCGGAATGTGGCAAGGCGAGGTCCTTGATGTTCTTTTTCAACAAGGGCTAGATAGTGGCATTGAAGAAAAGAAACCAGACGGTGTAGGAGAAGAATATTGGAAGATTATCAACTGTGTTGCTTGCGGTACCATTCGATCTTACCTTGCAAGAGAACAAAAGTATCCACACACGAAGGAAACATCTGCAAATAAATTATGGAATTCATTGGAGGAGAGATTCTTGAAGAAAAACAGTCAAAATAAACTTTACATGAAAAGAAGACTGTTACGCTTCACTTATGTTCCCGGTAGCACAATGAATGATCATATCACCAACTTTAATAAGTTGGCGAAAGACTTGCGAAATATGGACGTGACTTTTACGGATAGAGATATGGCCTTAATGTTGTTAAGTTCACTTCCCGATGAGTTTGAGCATCTTGAAACGACTCTACTGCATGGGAATGATGGAGTATCACTCAAAGAAGTTTGTTCTGCCTTATACAGTTATGAACAAAGAAAGAGAGAAAAACAAAAAGGCGGAGAAGCAGAAGCACTAGTTGCAAGAGGTCGTTCTCAAAATCATATGAGAACAAATAAAGGGAGATCCAAGTCAAGATCGAGACTCAACAAAGATGAATGTGCCTTTTGCTGAGAAAAAGGGCATTGGAAGAAAGAGTGCCCAAAGTTGAATAGCAAAGTTAAACCAAATAATGGGAAGGCTCTCATGGATTCAAATGTGGCTGATTGTGATGATTCCGATTACTCACTAGTTACAATAGATCCATCCAAATCATCTGATGTATGGTTGATGGATTCAGCTTGTAGTTATCATATGTGTCCCAATCGAGAATGGTTTATTGATTTACAAGAAGGAGAATGTGGATTTATTCACACCGCAAATAATATTCCTCTTACCGCATATGGTGTTGGTTCAATACAATTAAGGAACCATGATGGATTAAGTAGAACATTAACAGATGTTCGATATGTACCAGATTTGAAGAAAAATCTCATTTTTGTAGGAGCCCTAAAATCAAATGGGTTCAAAGTCATTGCAAATAATGGCGTGATAAGAATATGCTCGGGTGTACTGGTGGTAATGAAGGCAATTCGAAGAAATAATAACATGTACCACTCTCAAGGTAGTACAGTTATTGGGACAGCGGCAACAACATCTAATGACGAGAAGGGGACAGAAATGACCAAGCTGTGGTGTATGCGCTTGGGACATGCTGGAGGGAAATCCTTGAAAACTTTATCAGATCAAGGATTGCTAAAAGGAGTAAAAACATGCAACTTGGAGTTTTCTGAGCATTGTATCAAGGGAAAGCAAACAAGGGTTAAATTTGGAACAACTATCCATAATACTAAAGGTATTTTGGATTATGTTCATTCGGATGTTTGGGGTGCTTCCAGAACACCTTTATTAGGTGGGAAACACTATTTTGTAACCTTTGTTGATGACTTTTCTCGAAGATTGTGGGTGTATACGATGAAAACAAAATATGAAGTATTGAGAATCTTTCTCAAATGGAAGGCGATGATAGAAACTTAAGATCAAGTGCCTTAGCACAGACAATGGTGGCGAATACAAAAATGATCTTTTTCATTAAATTTGTGAGGAAAATGGCATCGTTAGACATTTCACCGTAAAAATACACCACAACAAAATGGAGTGGCAGAACGCAGGAATCGAACTTTGCTGGAGAAAGTTCGGTGTATGTTGTCCAATGCTGGGTCGGGCAAAAAATTTTTGGCTGAGGCAATAACATATGTGTGCCACCTCATTAATCGTCTACCATCTGCTGCTATTGGTGGAAAGACATCATTTGAAAAATGGTATAGAAAACCTGCTGAAGATTATGGTTCTTTATATGTATTTGGCTCAATTGCATATTATCATGTAAGAGAGTCAAAATTGGACTCAAGAGCAAAGAAAGCTCTATTTATGGGAATTACTTCTGAGTCAAAGGATACCGTTTATGGTGTCTAGAGACAAGAAAAATCATTTTCAACAGGGATGTTACCTTTGATTAATCTACCTTGATAAATAAGGTAACAGTTGAAGAAGTCAAACAAATTGATGGTGCTTCAAAGCAGGTGGAGTGTGAGGGAAAGATAATTTTCCCAACACAGGGATCAAACGAGGAAACAACAGAAGATTTTCCTCTTGAAGGAGAGCCAGTCGAAGAGGAGGTTCCATATCAAGAACCTCAACCACAACTTGAATCAATAGCAACCAGCAAGCCAAAAAGGACAATAAGAAAACCTGCTCGATTCATAGATATGGTGGCTTGTGCGGACTCAATTGTAGTTGATGACATTTCTGCCACTTATAAAGATGCAGTACAAAGTTCAAAAGAAGATAAGTGGAGGATTGAAATGGATGAAGAAATGCAGTCCCTTCATCAGAATCATACATGGAGATTGGTCAATCTTCCGGAGGGCAAGAAAGCAATTGGGTGCAAATGGGTATTTTCAAAGAAAGAAGGATTTCCTAACCAATAAGATGTTCGCTACAAAGCAAGATTGGTGGCCAAAGGATATGCTCAAAAGGAGGGAATTGATTATAATGAGTTGTTAAAGTTGTGAAACACTCCTCCATTAGAGTTTTGTTGGCTTTGGTAGCACAGTTAAATTTGAAACTAGTTCAGTTGGATGTAAAAACTGCATTTTTACATGGAGACTTGGAAGAGGAAATCTACATGACTCAACCATAAGGATTCAAAGTTGATGAAAAAGAAGATATGGTGTGCAAACTTGAAAAATCATTGTACGGATTGAAACAATATTCTAGACAATGGTACAAACAATTTGACAAGTTTATGTTGCAGCAAAGGTACATAAGAAGCAAATACGATCATTGTGTGTATTTGCGCAAGCTTGAAGATAATTCCTTTATATACCTTCTCCTATATGTTGATGATATGTTGATATCTTCTAAGAGTCAAGAGGAAATTGGGAAGCTAACGATTCAACTAAGAAAGGAGTTTGAGATGAAGGATTTGGGTGAGGCAAAGAAGTTCTTGACATGGAGATAAAAAAGAGATATACATTCAAAGAAACTCTATTTATCTCAAAAGGAATATTTGAAGAGAGTACTAAAGTGATTCGGTGTGAATAAAAAAATGAAGTCGGTTAGCACTTCGCTTGCTCCTCATTTTAAGCTTAGTGATGCTAAGTCACCTAATAATGAAGCTGAACGAGAATATATATCAAGAGTGCCATATGCTAATGCTATTGGTAGCTTGATGTATGCAATGGTTTGCACAAGGCCAGATATTTCACACGCTGTTAGAGTTGTAAGAAGGTACATGCACAATCCTGGAAAGGATCATTGGCAGGCTGTAAAATGGATTCTACGGTATATTCATAATACTGTAGATGTTGGTTTGGTTTTCGAGCAGAAAGATAGTCAATATCTTGTTGGATATTGTGACTCGGATTATGCAGGTGATTTGGACAAACGAAGATCAACTACTGGTTATGTTTTCACTATTGCAAATGCACCAGTTAGTTGGAAGTCTACTTTGCAGTCAACATTTGCTTTGTCTACCACTGAGGCAGAGTACATGGCAATTATAGAGGCTGCGAAGGAAGCTATTTGGCTTCAAGGATTTCTTAGAGACCTTGGTATTGGACAAGAAGAAATCACAATATTTTGTGATAGTCAGAGTGCTATTCAATTAGCAAAGAACCAAGTTTATCATGCAAGGACGAAGCACATTGACATCCGATATCATTTCATACGAGAAATCATAGAAGATGGTGGAGTCATAATGCACAAAATTCATACTACAAATAATCCTTCCGATATGTTGACAAAAGTGGTGACTGCGGTCAAGTTTCAACATTGTTTGAACTTGATCAACATTGTTGAACATTGAAGATTAAGGTTGAAGACACAATAAAAAATTTTGTTGAGAGAAAGTTGAAAATGGAGAATCTTGTCAAGGTGGAGATTTGTTATTTTTAACAAGATTCAAAAATGGATTAATGAGAAGATATGGTAGTTAGGAGGATAATTCTTCATTGATAGAAAAGTCAAGATAGCACCTTTAGTAGGTGGAATTTAGGTGAACCATAAATCGATTTCACAAGGTAAATCTTGATATTTTAACATATTGTGTTGTCATGGATGACATCAATAGGAAGAATTCACTCCTATAAATAGGTAGCTCCTAATTCATTTATAATACACCTCTAACTTGCCTTCTCATCTCCCAAGACATTTGTTCTTCTTTTTCTCTTGTAGTATTTCACTTGTACTCTTTTGGAGTGAAATAAATATTGGTTGGTTGTGTCCGAGGACTAGGCAAAAGAAAACAAAAGTTTGCTGAACCTCGTTAATTTCTGGCGTTCTTTCTGTTGTTGTCTAATTTACTATTTATTAGCTACATTTAGATATAGCAGTTGTGATTCCATCACTCTCTATATATTCAACTTTCGCAACAAGTTTTACCTGCGTACACCCAACCCTCCCCATATCCCACTTGTGGGATTACAATGACTTGGTGGTGTGGAGACTTACCTTCCTTCTCGGTAGCCTTAGGTTCAACCGAAAGACCTGCAACATCCAATACAATTTTTGAAGTAACAACACCTAAGTAAATTAACAATATTTTCACTAATATCAAGAAAAAGAAAGGATTTTTAGGATTGACAGAAGGATCAATGTTTATTTGGGCTTAGATCATTATATTCATTGATACAACTACTTGGTGAAGTTCAAGTATTCCAGAGTGTAGCATCTCGAGTATCTTACGAGTGTAAATGGATCTTTTGATATAACCATACTTCTCTCCACTTCCAAATGCTTGTCAGTTGCACGCAAGAAGTTGAAGAGCAGTCATTCTATCTGCATGTTGTTCATTAACTAAATATTCATACTTTTTAGCAATTGATAGGGCCAAACCTGTAAGATGAAAAACAGAAAACGAAGAAGAAAATAGAACACGATACAAAAGAAGTCAGCATTTTACCACTAGCAAATGAAACAATCATAAATCGTTGCTCTACAACTTATAATATTTGAAAACATACCAAAGTGTTCAGAGCGTACATCAGCATGAAGAATTGTTGCTCCACCAAGTTTATAATAACAAGCCTCGCGTTCATAAACAGAAAAAAAAAATTGATTCACTTGTTGATCAAGAAAATCAAACATGACTGCTTTCCCATAACGAATAACACGAAATAGAGCAGTCTCTCCAGTCTTATTGTGCATACCAAATAAATCAGGTTCTCTATCCAATATTATCTGTGCAGCTGAATCAACTCTGCCAAAAGTAGTTATTTCATGAATAATGGTATTCCCCATATCATTACGATGCTTTAGTGCATCTACAGGAAATTAAGGCAATCGCATTTCCAACTCTTCAAGTAAACGGAGAGCCAAATCTGTTCGTTTAGAGTAGGCAGCCACATGGAGGACTGTGTCATCGTGCACAGTTAATATATGCAATGGCCCTGATTCCAGTCCACGACAGAGTCGTAAAACTTGATTGTTCTCTTGTTTCATCAGTGCATGGTAAAGCTTCTTATTCATGTTATGTTTTTCTTTCATCTACAGTTAAGAATTCCATGAGAGACTTATAGCTTAAAGAAGAGAAGATGTGTGTTTTAGTCTCAAATTTCATATAAATATAAAATGATGTACATATGCATGTAGCATATTGATTGTGACCGAATTAGCATCCCAAAAGGTTTTGGGTGAGAAATAAGATTCTACTTTTTTAAGGCATTATAAGTGGAATATATTCAAGCAAATCAACTCATTACTCTATTATTTAGCATCTAAATTACCATAAAATTCATAATTATTATTGAAGTGGTATCAAAATCAACATGTTAAGAACGATGGAGGTGATGGATCATGTTCCAATGAATTTAAGAAGATGGGCTTGTTATCCAATGTTATTTGGTCAAATCAGAAGAAATTTCAAGCATATAATATTGGAAAAATTCCTACGTTAATGAATTTATTAAAAGAGGAAGAAGAAACATCAATGGAGAATCAGCAAAAAAACAAAAGGAAAGGAAAAAGTCATAAAATGGGTCGATATTATATTTTTAGTGGATCGGATCAAGTAGAGCGGGTGATTAAATGGCTTAAATAATATTTTTTATTTTTCAATATTTTAATTTGTTATAAATAATTAATATTAATAAATTTTAATTAAAACAATTAAATAAATTGAGTGATTTTCTGAGAAAAATAGTGGATAGTTAAGTGCTTTTGAGTTAATATTCAAAATTAAGTGACTTTTTGAAAGAAAATAAATAGTTAAATGATTTTTAAATTAAAATTAAAAATTAAGAAACTTTTTTAAAAAATAATGCATAGTTGAATCACCATATAAAATGTTAACTCGCTCCGCGTCGTGGCCTGCCCTACACACATGATAATGATTGTAGTCAAGGTCTATAATAAACTAGTATAGACATAAAACTTTAGGAAACTTTTTACTTTATTGGATGTAATTGTCAAAAGAGAAAAAGCACTAAGCACAGTTTGGTATTGGTGGCTTAATATACAGGAAGTTGTACCAGCTAAGTATGAATGCAAGTCAATCAATTTAATACGTTAAACGAATTGATACCTGAACTTGTAATGTTTCGTAAAGTTTGTCCTACGATTTTTTATTTTTCACATTGTTTTACTATTATTATTTCTCTAAGAGAAATGACTCATATGTCGTTAAAATTTCAGAAAATGCTTATTTATGTCATCAATTAAAAGTTTGACTCATTTATGTCATTATCATTAAAGAAAAGGCTCATTCATGCTATTATTTTTTAACAATGGTTTTGCAAAATCATTTTTGACACGTGACTAATTATAATTCAGCCACGTCATTAATTTTTTAATAATTTTTTTATAAAAAAACAATTTAATTTTTATTCAAAATTTCGATTAATGCAAAAGTACCCCTCAACCAATGCACAAATCTCAGAGACACACTTATCATATAATAAGGTCCTACAGAACTTATATTATTAATAATTTTCTACCAATTTTCGGCCTACGTGGTAGTATCTTGTGGGCTCAACGCTCGTTGATTTGTTTTCTCCAGCTAGTGTCACGTAGGCCGAAAATGATAGCAAAATACTTATATAATAAGTTCAGGGGTAATAGAACCTTAGTAAAGTATAAGTGTGTTTCTGGAATTTCCGGCATAAGTTGAGGGGTACTTGTACATTTTCCCAAGAAAAATTGATGACGTGGTCAATTATAATTCGGTCACGTCATTAATTTTTTAATAAAAAATATAAAAAATCAATTCAATTTATTTTGACATGACCGAAGTATAATTGGTCACGTGTCAAAAATGGTTTAGCAAAACCATTGTTAAAAAATAATGGCATGAATGAGTCTTTTCATTAACAGTAATGGTATAAATAAATCAAATTTTTAACTAATGACATAATTGAGTCTTTTCTGAAAGTATGATGACATATTTGAGCCTTTACCCTTTCTTTAATAGTGTTTGTTGTTCATATTTCATAGAAAACGGAAATATAAGAATCTACTCAAACATGTGTGAGGTCTTTTCTTTTAACTTAAACATCTCCTGTTACACGCCAAAGGGCATCAATATTATTGTGCCTGTTCCTATATCACTGATATCTTCTTTCTCCTTGCATTATCCGACTTATCTCGTGGTCGTTTGTGTTGGTTATACTATTAAATTCTCATAATAAACTAAAATATGATGAAAGACTCAATACTAAGATAACATATATAAACGCTTTGAATCTCTTAGCCCTTCTATGTTATGAATATGATTATGTTGGTTGTTCTTGTTTCATTCCCTTGTTTCATATATGAATATATGTGACCCACATGGTCTCAGCCGCAAGAAGAGCAAGGGCACGGTATTCAGCTTCAGTCGAGGACCGAGAGACCTTGGGTTGTTTTTTTGTACACCAGGAGATCAGGTTCGGCCCAAAAAAAAGAGAAACCCCGATGTAGATTTTCTGTCATTTTTATCATTCGCCCAATCTGAATCTGAGAAACCCCAAAGATCCAAGTCCCCGAGTCGAATGAGTAAACCACGACCAAGAGTGCCAAAAATATACCTAAGAATGCGTTTTAGACAATGGTAATCATGTTCACTTGGTTGATGCATGCGCTGAGAACCTCGGTTGACAACAAACTGGATGTCAGGACGGGTAACGGCCAGATACTATAGAGCCCCAATGAGGCTGCGGAAGTGGGTGATATCGGCAAAGGGGGTGTCGGCTCCATTCGTAGACGAAGAGACTGCCATTGGTGTTGGTTGACTGGTGCATTTTTCCAGTCCAGCTTTCTGCAATAGATCTCG